GTCGTTTTATAATATTATTATGCATGAGTTAGATTGATATATTTGAAAAAAAAGTCTCAACTATGAAATTTATTTTCATGGAAATTTAGATATCCCAACATTATTTACGTAGAACCGACGTACGAGGGAAAGCACACTTGGAGAGTAAAAAAATTGTGAGTTATTTCAGTTGTTGTAATTTCCATCGCGCGCGGAAATGCAAAGCTAAGGATTTGAATAAATAATATCACTCGACAAGAAAAAAATAACACTTTGGATTTTAAAATTTAAATGTGAAATATATGTTTGAAGTAGTTTTTCTGTGGGAAATGAGAACTGTAGATGATTAGAATATGGTGCTTGTGAATTTGGTGTTATTGCATACTATTACTTAGTGTTGGCTTCAATTATTAAGTGGCGTACCGTGTATTTTAATAGAATTTAAATAAGGCAAAGCTGAATGTCACGTATTTATGTCTGTGGGCCGATAGAGGCATCTTATTATACCAATACATCATATTTACACACAGATTCTTGTATTATACTGTCTCCGCTGGCTCTGTGACCCAAAATGTTCCCTTGATCGTATGGGCCAAGATCGGCCAGTGAGGGAAGCATACATAAGCTGCAGCTGGCCCGTGCTGGAACGACAGGAGGACCTGCTGCTGAAAGCCGGCAAATGGCGGGAAGTGGTACAGAACAGGAAGCAGTGGAAGTTTCTCGTTTTGGAGGCGAAAGCATTATTATTATACATTTAATTATATGTTACCCTCGGAAATCATTTTTTTGTATAATAATTTATACTTATTAACGACATCCTTAATGAGATTGGGAGAACATATCCAATAAAAAGCAATTAATGAATACAAAGAGAAATAGAGGCTGAATAAAACCAATAATAAACCTTTATTATCTAGAACAAGATACGTTTCGCGTCTGATTGAACACAGTGACAGAAACAGAAACAATCTATAATATGCGTTTCTCTTCGACGAATGAAATAAATAAAACTATTTTGAGTTTCAAGCTTTACTAACCTAACGAACGCCAGGTTGAACGTGTCGTTGATATAAAACTCGAGATTTGTCTTTGATGTATAAAATAAATAAGATTTATTAAAATGTTAATTAAATTTCATTTACGAATTATATTGGATTTTCTTCGTTACACCGGTGTTATTAAATTAATTATATTAACGTTGGCTGTGAAAAAGGCTTCACTTGAGATTAAATATGGCTTATAGTCTGATATTAAGACAGGGAAAAATGGTCATCTTTGGACCTTTTGGGCCTTTACCCTCCACTGAGAGGGGTTCTTGCACCCATAAATATAAAAGCACCTGAAGAAAAGAAATTAATAAAGTACCTATCTAATCATGCACACTAATGTATATTTTTAACTTTTTATTTTTTTTATTTTAATTTCTCTTTTTTTTCTTTTTAGTAAACCTATGTTATTTTGTATAATCTTTTGGCAAGAAATAAAAGGCTTTTTTTTTAATAGTCTGATATTAAGTCATAGGTTTTTAGTTTTTACGAGCCAACAACATAAAAAGTGAACATTTGTTTTCGAACATCGGCTTTACAATTCCTTTTCGTGTCTAAGTTAAATGTTATAACCTCTGCAAACATTATTTTGTATGATATACCTATGCGTCGTTTTAATTGGAATAAATTTTTACAGCTTACGTAAAGTCAAACACAGTAGCAGGAGATACGAAACACACCCGTGGCGTGGTTTTAGCTGAGATTGTGAGAGCTAACATCCCAGTGAAGAATGGAGTCGTACACCTCATTCAGAGACCACTTATGGTCGTCGACACTACAGTTGTTGATTTCTTGAAGGTGAGTTTATTATATTAATAATAACCGCTTAACATGTATTGATTATATGGATGTAGTAACGAAACCAAAAGAGAACTTTTCTGAGATTGTTTTGTTGATTAATCTGTGTTTTCTGACCCGTAATGTTTTATGGCCATTCGAACCCGGGGCTTACCCTACACTAGCCAAGTGTGAAGCGATATTGTGCATAAAATATACATTACAAACAGAAGTTTTTCTTTCAAAGGAGTAGCAAACATCTGTCTCAATATAATTACGCCTTTCAAAAATTTATTATGAATACGCGACTGTGCGTTTTAACGTATGTTTGTAAGGTTGAGTTAATTATTCTTTGGAACATCTAACTATAAGTTAGTAATATTAAACAAGCAATCAACTTCGAATACATTAAGTAGGTAATATCGTAATCATTAAGCGTTATATTGTAGCAGTCAATGACTATATTTCGTTCAAAGTCCAATTCAATTGTTTCTATCAGCTCTTTGTAAAGTTTTTCGTTAAATTTTCAAGATCTTATTACTTTGTTCTTTATTCAATTCTTGTTTTAAAACGATCGGTCTTCGGCACGTAATTGAATAACAAAGTTTTTGAATCTTTCGTTACCTTTTGGCTCCATTATTCGGGAACCAGGCTATGAAGGTAAAATAAAATATTTTTTTTCTCCCTTGTTATGCTCTATTTTATATTTTCAGCACGTACCAATTATGTAATTTATATTTTATTCGTAAGAACCATCAGTCCTTTATCATAAGATTCTGTATTTGAAAAGTTATACATTTTAGTCTGCATGTGATTCTGAAGAACAAAATGAAACATTGGTAAGCGGTAACTGCTAAAACCCAGTAGTTATCTTGTAACCTGTGAAAAATTATACATTTAAATCCTTAGTATCTAAGTATTTATTATAATTAAAAAAGCAATGACGTTCATGTTAACACTTTTATCTTTTACTTTTATAATGGCATAAGGTAAGGCTTGTAACTCCTTTTAATTATTTAATTAAGGCACTTACGAATGTCACTAAAACATAAGTTGTTACTTCGGTATATAAGGAACCTCTTCACTGCATCCTGCAATTGTCAGGCACACTCATATTATGTAATCACTCATAGAATGCGCCCGACTCGTCGTCATTCATCAAAACGGTGCAAACGTGACATGTTTGCTTGAACTGTGGGGCGCGCCTTGAAAGCCTTAGGGGCATAACTGATTCCTTTTTTTAAACATCTCCACGTTTTCCATTAATATTCTAGAATGTTCCTATCGTGATTGTCATATCACTAAATATAGCTAACTAAAACATTTAAACGCAATAACATAATATCACTAACGGACAGTGTTAATTTACATTATTGTACAAATGTTTGTCCCTAGGGAGGAATACAAATTGTAACAGTATTAAACTATGAATTCCTCTGATGGCATTAATTACCATAACGCTTTAAGCCTATAATGCCAGATTTTCATGTCATAAAATCTCGACCGGCGTTTTAAATTCACTTGTACGACTCGCTAGACAGACGTGAGACTGATAAATCCTGATAGAGCACGCCCTTGCTTTAAAGGTAGGGTTGCCATCCTTTTAAAGTAAGCTCTCGAATAGAACCCGCCTCGATAGTGCTCGGACTCAACGAGGTTTAAGTGCTTTCCGAGCATTTAAATGCACGCGCGAAAATAAATTCATGCCGGGATTTTCTTTTTTCTTCGTTTTCCAGAACTAGGTTTTAATTTCGCATGAATTTCAATTTCACATATGAAATGGGTATATTTACTCAACAATCCAATATAGTTTGAATCGTTCTTAAATACGATTTATGGCAGCCCTATTGAAGTGCTAGGAACTGATACGTATGCTACCCTCGGAGTATGTATACGCTAATATACACGGGTTTTACCATTCTCATATAGTAACTTTGTATGTGTATTATATGAATTTCATATTATGTTTGTGCAAACTCTTGGATCCTGCATGAATTACCAACTTTAGGGCATTGTGAGTATATTTTGCATGACTTTGCAGTAGCTTTTAACTTTTTTGAGAATTATGATACACTGCAGGTTAGAGATTAACTGACACTACTTTTATTTAAGCAAAAATTGTAACTACAGCATACTTGTAAATTATATTAATTAAAATTAATCTATTAGTGTAAAATAGTTAAATGAACCTTTTAAGACAAATATATCTTTAACTGATGCTTAATCGTTTGTAAATTAGCAAGAAGTGAGTCTAAAACTCAATTATACGTTTCGTCATATTTAAACATAGATGTATCACTTGTATTTTAATTATCTTTCTATACTCAGGAAAAGGAAGATGGTCCGCTATGTAAATTTTACGAAGTAATAATGGATTTGGGCGAAAAGAATCAGTTCCTTAACGAACTCAACCTGGCGAAAGATATAACTCTGTTCGCTCCCTCCAACGATGCTTGGAATGAAAACAGTGTTCAGAATATACTCAGGTAACACAAACATTTGTTTCCACCCCTTTCCTTCCTATTATTGAAATTGCATCAGTTTTCCCGGCATTTGAAAATATAACGTAAATTAAGTAATTGATTTCGTCGGAAATAAAATTAAAAAGGCACTAGTACGTACGCACGCATGTACAAGGTGGGGTGGCTGGTAGTATAATAAAAGCTATAACTTTCTATTAGTGTTCTAAACAGTGACAGCCCCATGCCCACCTTTTGCTTTTGGTAAATGAACAAATAATATACTTTACGTATTACATATTACGTTAACTTAAAGAAAGCGTGAAATTTGAATGAAACACCAACATTAAAAATACATTTCCATAACAATTTAATTTAGAAGGCTAACATTGCCGTTGTACTGTGTAAACTTTCTTAACGCAATCGGAAAGAAAACTTTCAGTCTTGCAATCATCGTTACGATAAAATTGGACGAAAACTCGAACAAAATTTTTAAGTAATAAATTCTTTATTTTCACGGGAATTTACCAACTTAAACAAAAGGTTATCGATTATTTTTTGTAATGAAGCTTAAACGATTCCTTTTCTGCATAGCAAATTTATTTTAAGTTACTAGCTCTTATCTGCGTGAATGATGACACATATATATCCCATTTTAATTCGTGATTATATAACCTCAATGCAACCATTAGTGTCAAAAGGTGCGGCCCGGAAGAAAGTTGTTTCAAGCGAGTCACATCATCGCTTAATTACAAGGGGAATATTTTCTCACTTGTTTGAGACATTTCCACATTTCCTATTATATTTACTTAAATTGCATGAAATCTATAAACACAAATCACAAGTCATTTTTAATTATTATTAAACACTTGATAGTCAAAGTGTGAGTATTTATACGACTACAATTGTGTTGTTTTATTATTTATGCAAATATCTTTTCGACTTATAAAAATCTTATAATGTATGTGTTACCTGTTAAATTATAAGATTTATTTAATAACAATTTCGATATCATTAGGGACCATCAAAAGCTGCGAGATATTTTGAGCCTACATTTGGTACGAGAGAGATTGCCGCTCGACGTTATTATACAGAATAACATGAATCAGGTCAGTGAATTTAATCTAATTATATTTTAAACATCATTAACGTGGACACGCATATACAAATTGCAAATATTCAATTTGTGTATTTTATAATATCATACTTTCGAATTATTGCTGCTCGGAACAGCTTCCAGAAAAAGTATGTTCAAACTAAGCAGATACTATGTGTTTAAAGCTTTTAGACATCGGTTGTCCCTGTATCCAATACAAAATAATTCAAAAATTTTTAACCATTGGCTAGATATTACATAAATAATCTTAATGTAAGGAAACCTATAGTCAACATATTCGTTTACAGAGTTTGACTGTAATTTAAAGAGTTGAATATCTAGCGTTTGGTTCGACAATTTCGAATAGTTTGTCTAAAGACCGGACGATATAGATTTTGAGCATGTCAACGTTGTTAATTTAGACGTATTGTCTGTGCATGCTCCATGTTTCCTTGCATATTGACTCGGGCTCTACGTCGTAGCTCTTGCCCGTAGCCGGTCGGCTGTAGCATGAAATCTGTAGCTATTCGATGTGAAAATTCCTTACATGAAGTTAGTCAAGCGGAAAATAACAGTGAACTGAACAATACTTATCATATTTTATCTGTTTAACTTTTATATTTAATCTATGTTTAAAAGATTGTTATTACGTTATTTCACTGAGAAACTAAAACACAATAAAATGTATAATCAAAAGCATATATCATACATTATGTATACAATTTAAATAGCAAAATGTTATTTTCATAGATATATCAAGCCCCGACAGCTTTTCCAAGAAAGTACCTATACTTTAACGTATTGAACGCTGGGAACAATCAGACCTTGACTGTAGAGGGTGGTGGTGTGAATGCTACAGTGACGCAACCGAATATAGCAGCTACCAATGGCTTCGTACATATCATAGACCGCGTGCTGGGAGTCCCATATACTACGGTGTTTGAGAAAATGAAGACTGATCCTATGCTAAAGTAAGTAATTATAATTATATGTATATAATATTATTAGTATTCTACACATTTTTTAAACTCATGATATTAACTGCAAGATAAACTAATTTAAATAAAATTTACACAACGTTTTGAATATTTTATACCCGGGGTAAATTAAATACAATATTACAAATCAATTTAATTGAATTTTTACATATGTATTATTTAATAATTCTAAAAATTCGTGAGCTATTTTGAATGTTGAATAAAAATATAGTTGTAACATTTTTATTTACGTAAACCTTAGTGATTTAATGAAGAATGTCCATTGTTTTACAAGCAAACAACAGAAATAAGAATACAAACGAAAATAGAACAATAAACGTATTTCCTTAATTACAGTCTTTTTATTGTATTTATTCTCTGAAACTTTGTAATGTTTATTTGATAGTACAGCTATGATAATTAATATCTTTCTCAGTACATTTAAGCAAACCGTTCTTGGGTAAGTTTCAAGTTTGTCAAGCTGTAATTTACTGCACACCGCACTGTTTGATTTCTATTCCGTGTTCGGTGATATTTGAAATGTTCCAGATTGATTCCATTGTTATACTTACAATATCTACTGAATCGTGTTACTATTCAAATTCGTGTATGGCGAAAACTTCATACAATTCCATTTTAGAACTCACATTGTATTATTTCGAAATACAATGACTTTTCGTTCCATTTCCAAAATTATTTTATTGATTATAAAACCTTTTAGTGTAACCTACAAGCTCGGCAAACGACAGATGTTTAACCACCAATTAAATGACCTGGAGCATCGCTACACATACTTCGTGCCACGGGACCACGCATGGCTCAAATTCCAAATAAAACATCCCTCAGCATACAACGCATTATTTAAAGAAGATTTTGGGTACTATGTAAGTATGAGTAAATCTTTTTATTTATTTTTTGCAAGAGTTAAGTTAGGTGGCGGTTGTTGTAGACATGTAAATATGTTAAAAGAAACACTTTGTTACGACGCTGGATTAACAAAAAATTAACTTGTCTTATTTAAGGGTTTTATATTTCAGTGATACTTTAATATAAGTGTAGTCTACCTTTTTGGACATTATCGGAAACAAGAATGTTATATTACAATATATGACTGTGGGAAATTTGTTTTGCTAACATTTGGTTTACGCTTCTAATTATTTACTAAAATATATATACATATATATAACTTAACTAATGTTAGGTTACATAACTCAAGTCAAAAGTAAAATACTAAAGAGAGGAATAAAGCAGTTAGTTGGGATTAGCAAAATATAAAGTTAAATCTTGATGAATTGTTACAGGAATGCTATAAGTTTATATGTAAATTTATGTATGTTGGTTCAAATTGTTCAAATTGAGAGGCTTAATTTTACTTGCAAGAAGAGAAACTATTATTTAAGCCGTGTCAACATGAAAATATTATGTATAATAAATGTGTTTTAGTTTTTAAAAACTAATTTAAGAGAAAAAAATACCCAGACTTATAAACTGTATGTCTTAGCATAAGCCTCAGATAATTTTATTACTTAAATACTTTTATTTCAAAAAGCAAAATTACATGGTTCCTTTTCGTACAGATATCGTCTCCATAGTAATACACTTAAAATAATAGTACTATAATGAATATTCTGTATGAGAAATGATTAGCTTTAACACATTTACATCATTGCTTCTTGAATTCTTTGCTTAAATCTCTTTCCAAATTTTAAAATTCGGTTTTATTTTAAAAGTATGTACGTAAAAGCTCTCAGCGATTTGTCAAACAATAATGTGACGGTGCAAAAATGCTACGCGTGAGTAAAATGTACAACATGGTCTGCATTTTATGTCTGCTACATTTTCAGCTTTTACATAAACATTCATATTTCATTTTTTATTTACATTGTCGAATATATTAATAATTTGAAAGACAGACGGATTTAAGCCGTGGTAACGGTTATGGCTAAAACTGAGACAGCATTTGTTTTTATATACGTATCTACAACTTTGATAAGATAATTTATGAGTAACATTGAAATAAATCTATTTCGTGTCCTAGACATACGCCCATTTTATTTACATAACATTTTATGACAAACACGAACATAGAGACGTACATGACATATAAACACTAGCTGACCGGGCAAACGTCGTTTTGCCATGTATATCATTTATAATAAAAAAATAGGGGTTAATCGTAGACGGGTGAAAATTAAGGGTTGTATGTATTTTTTATGCTGTATCATAAAAAAATTTATCTAAAAATTTAAAAAAACATCGGGCTGGACTACCCTTAACATTTAGGGGGATGAAAAATAAATGTTGTCCGATTCTCAGTTATACCCAATATGCACATAAAATTTCATGAGAATCGGTCTAGCCGTTTCGGAAGAGTTTAACCACAAACACCGCGACACGAGAATTTTATATATTAGATTAAAACGGTTCCTTGTCTATAATATTTAGTCACAACGAGGAATAAATTAATTAATAAAAAAAACGGTACTTCTAAGAATAAAATGTTGTAGTTTTTAATTACTTTAAGTATAGATTTATAATTTACATCAGCCGCACCGTTCCAACTTTGCATCAACTATTAATTCTAAACCGCAATGTTCTGTAAAGTGAATTAATTTTTTGGTCGCTTTTCATGCATTTTTAATTATGTAGCAACCGGATTATCTTGATATCCATAAAATCTAATATGTTTCTATTTATTTAATATAATATAAATGTAATATTTATATTATACGAAATAAATGTGCTTTTGTACCACAACAACTATAGACTACTATACTTAGCGCCAGATTACACATGTTGCAATATTATTATCCGAGAAGGAAATAAAACTTAACTGGCTAAATAATTTTTGGAATTCTAAATTTAAATTGAAAATATATTGTTTTATCGAAATACTAATATGTGTATATCTTTTTTTATTTAGACCAAACAGATATTGGAGAGACATCTAATTCGTGCGGGTCGGGCATACACAATTTCGGACCTCAAAGTACTAGCGAATGAAACGCATCCCTTTGTTCTGCCTACAGCGCGGGACCCACTCAGACTAAGAGTCAAGGAGTCGGACAAAAGTAAGTAGCTTTGGACTTCCATTTACATTTTTTAGACACCATTTACTAGTAATTTTTATTTACTCTATTTTACGTTTAGTCCAAGAGTTTAAAAAAAAACTATCTATAGACGCTGAAATAAAGTTTACATGGCTTTAGTTTTAGTTTGTTCATAGTTTAAATAAAGTATTTGATTGCAATATATGCCTTTTAAATCTTTCAATATTATTTATGGTTATAAAGAAAAAATACATAATGATTTAGCCCTTGTATAAAATTTCATATCAGTAGAATTGTAGTAATTTTTCGTTTACGAATCTTAATTGCCGCCTTGAATTGAAGCCTTGATTTAAAACTAATTATAATATACATTAAATTATTTAATAAATTATTATTAATTAATTTGATGTATAGTATTCTCGTATAAGAAAACTAAATTTTGATCAATTTATCAGAAATGTGTCATACGCATACTGTTTTTTATTTGTTTCACTTGATTGAAATGAAATAATTGGAACAGATTACTACGTGGAATGGAACGGGCACTGGATACACGTGTTCCGCCCGGACGTGGAGTGCACTAATGGTATCATTCACGTTCTCGATGAGCCCTTCGTCCTTGAAAGTGATATAAGGGCTACAGGCGACGCCCGCGCATTGACACACAGCCTCGCCGTTCTACTGATGTCCTTCCTTTTCGTTAGAATCATTGAAGAATAAATTTCAATTTAATACCGGTTTGTGGTTTTAGTTTTTTTGTTATTGTAATCTGTGGATATATACTTCTTTGACACATGACGTTTAATCCAAGAACTTATTCATGTGTTTTGTAATACTTGTAAACTTTTAACGCTCTCTTTATCCTAGTAAAATTTGAAATGATTGTAATGTTAGGGGTATATGTAAATTTTTGAGAAACTTATTTAACACTAGAGCGTAGGTATATGAAAAAAAACTCGGTAATTAAACTGTATAGCGAATTTATCAATTATTATGTGTGTATTCGTAATACAGCATTTGATATTAATCCTATGATTATGAATCTCGTCTACATGTCTAGAAAGTAAACATTTTATAGTTATTGTTCCGTATTTGGCAAGTATTTCAATAAACACACTGCCAGATTTGTTAAAAACTCTATACTAAATAAAGGAAAATCTTATTGTTCGAAATGGTTTCATATATTGGTATTGTATTAGCTTGGGACCCTTACTTTAATGAGGTCGTAGTTAAAATTATACCCAATACAATTTTAGGTAAAGTTTTCTCCCTAAGTGCTTGTTAGGCTACAACTACAAGTCACCATGCCCATACTTTCAGTGAAGGGGCTACAAAAGCAATTTCGAGTTGGACGTAGGTCGGGAAATGTCAAGTCATGACATTCCCTAGTTTCACCTTACTGTTAAATGTATGTAGGTTATGATTTAGGTTATAGTAGGGCCCACAGAGTATCATAACTAAAGAGCTCTGAGCCGCTTTCAATAATTGCTTTCTTCATTTTCCTGGATTCTTTATTATAGTCGCATTATATTATTAGGTAAATATTTTTTTGTGTTCATACATTATAATAGTTTCCAGGTCCTCAGATTCTAGAAAAAAAGAATTTTTATCAAATATAACTGTTTTTTAATATAAATTCTCTAATATAACTTGTTCGTATTGCGTGCCTTGTAAAGAATTATTTATGAAATTATATTTCTAAATCAATTATTTATTTAGGTTTATTTCTCATATAGATTTAATCATATTAGACATTCCATATTATCTTCAATTATAGACTTAATTTAGTAACCATAGAAAGGGAAATTAATATTTAATATATAAAATATATGTATTATATTCATATGTTGGTAACATTAAAACTTATCGTTTTCCAAAAATATTTCTATCGTTAATACCCTTTTCGGTAATTCATTTATACATGTAAATATATGAGTGTGCTTAAAATAATTTACGGTGCATCGACTGTCTTAATACCTACATAAGTGTACATAATTTTTGTAAGTTATTATAGTTTAAAATAATATAATATCCACCATTTATAGTATTGTCACCTCATCATTCATAAGCTTTTATCAACAGATCAATTAGGTAAATTGTTTGAATTATGTAAAATTAAATTCTAAGTAATAAAATACCAAATCTATTGGAAGCTTGAAATAATCGTTGAAATTGTGAATTAGATTTTAAAGAATAATGGCTTCAACCTACGTTTATGTGGCCAATAAGAATGTATGACAATATAATTTAACCAAATGTTTAAACCAAATATTTGGAATCGGAATCAAATTGTAATTACAAGTTGTGTAATCTCAGTATTGTAAGAGTTGAATGAGTTAAAACGTGTTTATTGAATAAAGAATTTATCAACGAATTTTTTTTAATTATTCCTACTACCACTGTGTAGTGTTTGATTGCGAGCTGAATTTGCTTCACGCGAAATTCGCGAACTTTAAACAGAGGACTGCTTAGAGTTTAAGCCCTAACATACCTCTCTGGAGGGGACAGGGGTAGCTCTTTCCTACGGGGCATAGACATACCACCGTCAAAGAAACTCTCTTTGAACAAACTTGACTATAGATAAATTTTAGCATAACCCACCAACGCGACGGTGGAAACATTAACGGAAATCGCAACGGCGCAACGACTCGATTAGGAGACCTCTGGACCGTCCTCGGTCTGGTCATAGAGGATAAAAGATTAGAGATATATAGAGTTTAATCAGCTTAAAGCCCGCCCGTGTAAACTAACTGGCACAGAGAAGGAACTCACTTTATAAACTTTAAAGTTAGTGTCTATTACTAATATTAAACATGACAAGACAAAATAATTGCAATATGTATATTGTATATACATATACATTAATCTAGTAATTATATATGCACTTGATATACAAGATAATCTAAAGAAATCTGTAGGTAGAATATAATATATAAAGAATATGCTTATGTACCATATTTCTTGTTAAATTGACTGTCCTGACTTATTGTCGCTTTTACTATTTTACACCCCTTCTTCATACAATACAAGGCAAACCCAACTATTTAAAATTCCTCGGTCTAATACAAACTATTTACGTAACTCAGTCATGTATCGTATACCTTCAGATTATAACACAAATTACTAGCAAATAGATATATGTAATGTAACTAAAAATGTTTAAAAAAATAATTAAAAAAACTCTGGTATCTTTTATGAATAATGGCTTTGTTATTCTTCCTTTATATTAAATATTTATTATAATGATCAATGAATCTTCGAATTTAGAATTTATTATAAATACATATTATAATTTTTTTTTAAAAAAAATGAAAAATTGTGCTTTATTTATGTTTGAATGTGTATCCCGTTTTTGGCTTTGGTGTACAATGTAATTGTTTGGATATTGTTAAGTGAGTAGCTGTAGGAATACTGTTGAGCAAATAAATAAATATATAGTTAAAAACATCTTAATATATATATTTCTTGTGTGCGTGTGTATGTGACTGAACTTCTCTCAAACGACTGGACCGATTTTGATGAAATTTTTTGTGTGTGTTCAAGGGGATTTGGGAGGGGGATCTGGGAATGGTTTAGATTCACAAATCAGCCCGGAGATGGCACTGCAGTCGGTACTTTCATACTTTGCTTAATATCCTAATCGCTTTAAATATCATGCAGGACAACGTCTGTGGGGTCCACTAGTATAAGATATTTTTTTTATATAGGTCAACTTCGTAAGATTTATAGTAATCACTTTATTGTAGTAAACATTTTTGAAATTTTTATTAGAAATGTTGCCTGTAAGCTGAATTTAAAACTACAATATTTGACATAAACAAGCAACCTGGCATTTCAAAGCGGATTCCTGCATTGCCAATTATTTTCTCACATAGCTTTGTAAATAAATACGACCCCCCGCCTACAAATAGACGTTTTGATTTGAATGTACCATCAGGTCGTCTATATGAGTTTAACAACGTACATTTTTTTATCAAATCTATCCTTCGTTGTACACCTTTGAAATAAACACCCTTCACTCGTTAGCCTGTGTTGATTGTTTCTGTGCATTCACTTGCACAGCAAACAGCTTACACGAGACGTATTTAATGCAGACTTTTCGGATTTCGCTTTGTAATTTCGGCTTTTAAAACATTTGCCTTAGTGGAAGGTGTACTTACAACAACAATGTTAGTTTATTTAGTATAGATATATTTTATTAAATTATTACAAATATACAACAATGCAAAATATTTGAGATAATGTCATCGTTTAATATTTAAGTGGTACGATTTATAAGTTTTACGAGTATTAGAATAAGGCAAATATTTCAATTAAACATATTTATAACATTATAGAAAAATACTTAAATTTTACTTCTATTATAATATCTCTATTTTGATTCCATTTGTGTGCTGATGTCTCGAGTGAATAAGGGAATATGGGTAGGTACTTGGCAGTCTGGCATGAACAAATACAAGCTGTGATAACGAGCCTTCGGAGTCTCATGAGAATTTGAAAGCTGGCATTGTTTCCGAGTTTTGAGACCATTTTGTTGGCGGTAAAAGTGTTTTAGATGACCTTTAAGTTGAAGTGTGAACTTGGACTTTGGATCTTTGTTAGTATAAGGAAAAAATAGAATAAAATTCTATTGTACTATGTTGGCATAATATTGTGCTATGAAATTATATAAATACAGCAACTGTTTCGTCTGTTTAGATATTAATTATTTGTGAGTCTCCACTTAGTTTATCTAGAAAGCAAAAATTTCAGGGATCCGTTGTCCCAGGTCCTGAGAAAGACTCAACCCACTAATGCCAATTTTTTTTAGACTAAACGTAGTATCTTTTTCATAATTATTGTAAGCGAGTGTGGAGAGGTCGTAAACATTTGGTTTACATGTACAGAGCACATGCAAGAGAATATTCCGAATAAATAATCAAAGGAAATTCAATAAACGTAGGCGGGTGCAGGTTCTAAATAGAATACTAGTTGGTAAATTTAGTTTACTAGGGAAAGCTCCATCCTGGATGTGCACGCCGCAACATCCGGTACCGCCAATACATCTATCAAATCTCACCACTGTGACACTGGCTTGAGACGGCATTTCAAATATATTTTGTAGGCAAATGTTTATCAAAGGAATATTTAATAAAATATTATTCCTAACCGTCTTTAACCGTTACAGACAAAGTTACTCTTTTCACATTGCGCAAATATTTCATGTTTTAGAATAGGTATCGAATATACTTCATTAACTATATTATATATTTCTATTAATATTGTTCATATAGACTCATATAATTTAACATAAAAAAGAATAAAATATTTTGTCCCATTCTGTCGAGACATCAAAAAGGTTAGTTTGACATCATCAGGGAAATCTGAAGATCTGGCAGCTAACCCTCGGATCAAGAATTAGTTAAGACAGAGGTGAAGGCGGGAGAAACGCTGCCGTATCTTCGAACCTTGCCTAAGGGACCCTTTTAAATATTTTTTTTAAACTTAACTAAGTTCATCTAATATAACTAAGTATATTAGATTGACTTAGAATTGATTTAAGTAAGAAATGACTGCTACATTAAAATGTGTGTAGTGCCCTGATATCCTCATGGATATTTTCTCTTGTATAGATATATAATCATAATTTCCATTGAAAGACATTATTGTACCAATAATTTACTGAACAACAAAGCGATCCAAATAATATAAGTATTATTGTTCAATGTCATTTAGAAATT